AAAAACGCGATGGCCTCCAACCTAAGAGCGATGGCCTCCAACCTAAGGTTTTGGCAACCGGGCAGTTGATATCAGTCAAATGTTCTGCCACTAGTCGTGATCAAACGCTTTAGCACGGCAAATCCTTCCTTCGATGGGCCGATGTTCCACGGGTCCAAAGCTCGTACGGGTCCGATGTGCATTCGCCTCGTGTTCTTGCGGCGCCGAAAGCTTCTTTGGTTGGTGACAGTTTGAGGCTTGCCGATCATGGCCAAGCTTTTCAACTACAGCGACAAAAAGTGGTATTACATCTCCGGTACGATCGGAAGATGTGCAGAGTTTGTCCAGTTGGCTGCCATTCTTGCACCCTCCGGCTATTTCTATCCTTTGATTGCCTTGCCCTAAGTTCCGAAATTGCCCCTCTCCACGTTGCGGTCCCAGTCTTCCTTTCTTGAGGTGATTGCGCGAACTATGCAAGCCTTTTCATCAACTGCTTCGAGCAGGATAGGTGGTGCAATTCCGCCAGCTCTCATGAAGAGAGAGTGTGCAGACCGGAAAGAAATTGAACTGATTCACGCAGTTTGGTGGCATTTGTTTTGCATGAGTACTCAGACTTATTTCCAATTTAGAAACACTGGTTGTGTGCAGCTAAGGTAAATGTGAGTGCAGGCAATCAGGATGGATCTTGCTTCAACATGCCTGCCTGTCAAGTCATGTTGTGTCTTTGCACCCAGATTCCAGCACCTCTGCAGTTTCATGTGGTCTTGGAAGGACAAGGCAATTTCGCTACCGTCTGGAATGTTATCTATAGCATTTCTCTATTACATGGTGCCTTGGTGCGCTTCTTGATGGGACAACAAGCTGCTTCCCTCTTGTTGTCGGTGTAACAATGTATATAACCAGATTTGTGAAGCTTCGATCAGTGCGCAGAAAGGTATTTTCTCAATGGCAGCCAAACTTAACTTTGCAAGTGCTGACCTTCTGCTTCCTACAGGCGCGAAATGGTGAGCGTAGAACCTCTAGATATTGGATTGCTTTCACCCCTGTCATTTGTACTCTTCAGAGCTCAATAGTAGGGTTGAGGCACCTAATGGGTGCGCGAGTTGAATGCTTTCTTACCCCACCCCACTCAGTTGCCCAGCCTTTTCTCCAGCATCACAGCAGACGTTTCCAACGTCATAGCGGAGACACCCGGACGAACACACGAGCCGCTGGTCATACTACATGACCGGTGCACCGAACACACGAGCGAACACACGAGCGATGCGGCCTCCGAGCTATGCTCATACACTTGTTTGGAAGTATGTTTGCCCACCCATGCTGAGCATAGCCACTTTCAGACTAGCTTTGGTGGCAACAAGCGTGCATCTTAAGGGCGGTGCACTCGGATTCACAGGAACAAGCAAGACCTCCTCTGCAAGCTTCACTGAAGTCACTGAAGTCTAAAGTGGTTCGAAACTGTGGGGAGTCATGGGACAAGGACAACGGCGCAGGCTGAAGCTTTTCAAGCTTCGACCACGGGTAGTCAACCCGTTGAGAGCTAGCCTTCCAAAGAGAACACTGAACTTGTTAAAGGAAAGGATTTGTACATTCACCAGCACCTTGCCATTTTGTCCTAGAGTGTATTTGATTTGCCAGTATCTTAGAAGAACCCAGCATACAACACATCTCAAGGGTCCAATCCGAGCGCCTAAAGCCCTGCTAGTCAGTTGTTTGGCGGGCAAAAGACTTCATGCCACCAACATCTCAAACAAACATCAAACGTTGTGAGCTGCTTTTTCTGTTTTGAAATCTGTGACTTGACTCTCCAGGCAATCAGCTTTATGAGCTTGTACGGCTGCTACATGAATATGCCACTGCTACCAGGTTCCACAGCTGGAACTTGTTAATATATTTGTATACATCTATACACATACATATTGGGATTGTTCATGATTCAGTGAGTAAGCATGAACAGTGAGGGAATGTGAACAATCTTAAACATGCCTAATTGTTTCCAGCAATCTAGCTTTATACAATTTGTTTGGAGATAAAAAGGTTCACCCTTTCACTTAGAGGTTAGCATTTTCTTCTCATAGCTGATATCGTAGTAACAAGGGCATTACTACCAGTAGACATGCCCTTTGTTACTAGTAGCTTCTTGTTACTAGTAGTAAAGCCAGGAGCGCCCGGAACGTAGCGTCCTTGCTCCGTTCGTAGCGATGCCCGTCCCAGGGGATCGCCTTGGCACTCCTTTGTTGCCCCGCGTTGGAAGCGATCGCTTCTGGGAGGAGCAGCAGCCCGTCGGTACAGTGGAGCTACAACGTGGTCGTTCCGTTCGTGTGTTGTCCCATACATTCTTCGAACGACATGGTCAATGTCAAGCGACAAATGAACAAACATGTTTGATTAGATCATGATTGTTTTTGCGAGTATGACAAATGCCGCAGAAGCAATTGGGAAAAAAGACACATGGAACAACTCAATTTGACAATGACCCTTATGAAGCCAAATAAGTACAAGGCGCTACTCATATTGCTTTGCCAGCCTGTGCACAGCCTTAGGGCCTTATGACTGTTTTCAGTCGAGCTACGGCCTCCAACCTAAAAACGCGATGGCGATGTCTCAGGAACGATTTGGACTCTGAAGTCTCAAATGCCTTCAGTGGTCCTGCTTCAGTGAAGCCAGTTCTTGTGCGTTCTTCCAGCAGAGGCTGAACACTTGCAATCATTGTATTCATACCTGACGTTGCGGGTAGCGCCCCATTGTTTCATTGTTTGGACCTGAGCAAAGTTATCAGGTTCTCAAGCAGGTTGCACAAGAGGGCATTGTGGCAGAAACATTGCCAGCATTGCCTTGGTTGCACCACACAATGTTTGCTTTGAAAAACGCATGCGTATTGCACATTGATCGTATTGTAGTTCTTCAAAAGACCAAGTTAAGCAACCAGAAACGCTCTGACCTCATCGGGAAGCGGCGATTTTGGATGGGTTCGGATGGCTTAGGTCTGGACATCGTTGGTTCTCCATTCACCACTCAAGTCGAGCCTGGTCCGACCAGCGCTGTTCGGAGCTTGTCCAAGCACGATTTCATTCAGAAGCAGCATTTGTTCGGACCAGGTGCACAGCCTCATAACGGGTACCGGGTTGCAGTATGCAGAAGCTGGAGTCGAGGACAGATCGACTGCATCGAGTGAAAAAAACATTCCTCAACTACATCGGCTGCTGGTTTTGTGTATCAGGGCATTTTCTACGTTACCCTGCGGGATGCGCAGCTCAATGAGAGGTGCTTCAAAACTTGAAAGCAGCGTGGTTTTATGGTGGTTTGACAGTTCAAGTGTATCAGAGAATAGGTCGGATAGGTACAACAATGTTGGTCGGGAAGTATGGACGCCACTACAATGAGTACTTCAACTCAACAATCTGACTTTTTCTTGGACCAGTCTGGGGCATTGCCAGCTTTGTTTTTCTTTTCTTTTTTGTTCGAGGCGAGTCTCCATAGGCGAACCCGTCGAGCGCTCAGGAAGTGCTGGTTGGAGAAGTGCTGGTCACTTTTCCTTCTTTTTGCGTAAACCAAACGTTTAAACAAGACGCTCTTTCTCGTTTCTTCCATTTCTGCCCACCACCTGGTCCGTTTCAATCGCTCCCTCAAACCGCTGAAGCCGCCGTCTTCAACGCCGCAGGTCACATTGGACGATGCCAGATTGAGCTGTGTGGATCAAGGGCTCGGAGTGTCCGATTCTCAACGGGTCGAGGAACGCGTGTCGACGAACGGGCGCGAAACGGCTAACTTTTTCGTTCTCTTTTTCGTGATGTCTTTTTCGTTCTCTTCACGTGGAGAATGTTTCTCAAACTAAATCGTTAACCTTCGTCATGCGAGCGATTCTCGAACTCGGAAGCTGCCCCACCGAAGCGGCGGGGACCGGGGAGCTCCGTTCCGGTTTTCAGCTGCGGTCGGCGAAATGACGAATGCCCGAGGAATAGTACCACAAGACTCTGGACGCACATGAGTAATCTGTGTTCCAAGGTATGCGGGTGAATCTGAAACCAAAGCATGGCTATGTCTATGTTCCCTTTCACATCCCTTTCCCTTCCTTTCTTGACGTGTTTCTTTGGGTCAAAGGTACAAATGCTCTTACCTCATTACAGAGGCCAAGAGCACACCACATGGAGCTGTGACCAAGAATGGATGTCCTGCGAAACGGCTAACTTTGCAAACATGCAGAAAGTGAGAATTTGTAACCTACTAGCGATGGCCTCCAACCCAATAGCGATGGCCTCCACCCTAATAGCAGTGGCCTCCAACCTACTAGTGAGAATTTGTAGAGTTTCAGCTCAGCTGAGTAACAAGTGCATCGCTACTAGTAACTAACTAGTAACAAGAAGCTAGTAACAATGTTTGCTAATAGAAATAAGAAGCTAATAGCTTCTTGTTACTACTAGTAAGGCACTTGTTACTACTAGCGTGGCACTTGTTACTTGTCTTGTTTCTGCAAAGCACATCGCCCCCGTGCCAACTTGCAGGCACAGACCCTGAGTGTGATCCTGCGGGTGAACGGCCAACCTGTGAACCCAGTGTCACCACATACTTTTGCGCTGCTCGGAATGGAATCTGATGGCAGTAAGCATCCTTATAAACAGAAATGGGTTCGCCTGTCCCTGGTTGGAAGCTCAAGATCTTCGACCTCTTTTCCCAGGTTGGTCATCAACCCAAAGCCTATTGACTCCACGAGCGGCGCCGAGCCCTTAGAAGATGTCTTTCGAAGATTTCTGTGGGTTATGTAACTTTGTGAGATTTCTCCTTGCAGGTGAGCTATGTCTACGCCTTCACGACATTCTTTCCAGAGATCAGAAGAAGCACGGACAACAGCGTGATTTTTCAGGTTGGAGCGTAGACAGCAAGTTGCAATCAGACAGCAAGTCAGAGCTCCACCAGCAAGCATCGCGCTTCCACTGCCAGGTCAGAGATGAATTTGGAAATGATGTCCCGGATCAAGGCATCACTTGGCCCAAATGGAGTGGCCAACACTTTCAAAACATGTTTGTAACGAGCTTGCCGCGATGCCATTTCTGAGTATTTGTGCTCGAATGCAACTACCTCTCCTGACGGCCTCTGGCGCTGTGGGTGCCAGGACCACCCTTTAGAGGATTACCTGAACTTCGTTTTTGAGGATGTAGAAGGGTGAAAATAGGGTGGAGGCCATCGGTCTTAGGTAGGAGGCCATCGCTCTTTGGTTGGAGGCCATCGCTGCTAGGGTGGAGGCCATCGCTCTTAGGGTGGAAGCCATCGCTAGTAGGCTGGAGGCCATCGCTAGTAGGGTGGAAGCCAGCGCTGATAGGTTGGAGGCCATCGCTAGTAGGTTGGAGGCCATTGCTAATTGAAACAACAAAGTTGTACGACTGTGTACAATAAGTCTCTAGTCTTTGAGAATAGCGTCTCAGTCGTCTCTTGAGCATAGAATTTGTGAACTTCTGGTTGAAGCGTACTGGAAACTCAAGCCCTTTCTTGCTTCCCTTCCTTGTATCAATCTAGAGACCTTGGGAATAATTTGTTTGTTTCTATTCTCTTTTTGCATCCCTTCGGGTGCTGCAATCCCCTCGAACCCTGGCTAAAACATAAAATGGTGCACAGCATCTTCTAGCAAATGCACTTTGAAGGCAACTACACTGCAAGTCATCCTGGCGCAGCCCTCACCCCCCTCGGCCAATATAAGCACGATAACATTTAGTTTTTGCGCGACCACACCTTCGTGATTCTCTTGCAATCGAGAACAGTCTTGTGGCAGTGACAGTGATAGCAATCATGGATTGACAGTGATCAATGCTGTCCGTGACGCATCACTCACACTCCTATTGGTTGGCGGTGCAAGTATGCACGAAAGACACTGGCATGTTTTACTACTAGCTAGCATCTACCCTTGTTTCACTTGTTTTCTGGAAGTCCATACAGCTGGACATTCAGACCAGAACGCTCTTTGCTTTCTCTTTGCTTCTTGAAACGCAACATCGCTACTTCGTCCAAAGGATTCGTGAAAGAGTGGTGTGAAAGCTATATGAGTGGTGTGGCAATCTGTTCTTTTGCCAGGCAACAACTTCATGTTCTGTGAAGCTGATGGACCAGAGCAAAAGACCACGCCCTTCCGACCCCCCTTGGATGCCGTGCGCTATGCTCCTGGACTCTTCCGGGTGAATCTCAAGCTGGAGACCACGGGGGTGCACAAGGTGAATTGCTATGCCCTGAACAAAGGCGGCATCAATGCCAGGTATTTCAACAATCGCTGGGTGGAGGGGGTTCCCGCCATCTCGCAGGTGGACACAGCGATTGATTTCAATTGGGGGGGAAGGATTGGTGACAGCGGACTCCTCGGATTATGCCTCAGCACAATTTGACGGATATTTGCAGGTCCCGACCGCCGCCAATTATACCTTTTACATTACTTGTGACGATGGAGCAAATCTTTGGATTGATGATGAGTTGGTTTTGAGCCAAGCGAGCGCAGGGCAGTTTCAAACCAGGCCGATTTTGTTGACCGGAGCTCGTTTGTATCACCTCCAAGTGATGTATTACGAGCGGACGGGCTTCGCGCGCATGCGCTTGGAATGGTCCAGCGACCAGGGACTGGTCCGCGAAGTCATCGGGAAGGACTCCTGGTTTCATTCACGCAGCCTTCTTGGGCTCTTCCCACAGACTGTGCTGGTCTATGACAAACCAGGACGACACCCAAGTCATGGTTGTTTGTTCTTTCAGACAGCTTTTTTTCTTCTTTTCAAGCGTGTCCGTTTGAACATGGCCTGGTATACTGTATGTCGGACGTTTGTGCGGACAGCCCGTTTCCCCAGGACCTGTCGAGGCATTTTATCATCACGACTTTGAATATGATGTGAACCAACTGCCTCTTGACAAAAGCAGATTCAAGAACCATATTTATCAACGCTACAAACGGAGCAAAGGGCATGGCTACTAGGAGCAAAGATGCTACTAGGG